CGTGACTCACTGAAAAGAAGGTTGTCCCTCTGGCAGGTGTGACACTGGTCCTCGGCAGGCCCCGTGCAGCGGAAGCACTTAGCATGGCAGGGCTTGCATCCCAGAGCCTCCACATCCCAGTACTCAACGGGGGCACATTCCTTGTGAGGCACGCAGTCCCCGTGGTGGTTGACCAGAAGGCCCTCCTGACAGGCCGTGCAAATCCCAGGTGATGAGCAGGTCTGGCAGGACTTGTGGCAATCTGTGGGCACGGTGGGGGCAGAAGACCAAGTGAGAGAGGCCCAGGGCGCCCCTAGAAGATGTGTTTACACCCCTTCCCCTTTTCTTTCAGAGATTTCTAGGGCTCTGGATCCAGGGCATGGGGGCCACTAGTTGGGTAGAGCCCTTAGGCTCTGGGTAGAGCATTCTTGTCAAATGAGAAGAAAAATGGCCATTTCACATTCTCTGTAATATCTAGAGAACCCCTTCTTGCCGCATCCAGAAATATTAGACTCAGTGTGGTTACCAAAACTGCAACAAAACAATAAGCAATTCTGTAGGGTATGGTCATACACTGATCTGTGGCCTGCTTACCCCATAACTGTCACTCTGTGGCCCTCCACTGACCTCCCGGAACAACTCGAGCTTATCACTAACAACAGTTGTTGGGATGTACTGTAATTGCCTGTTGATCAAAAAAAGGCCTCTTTTGTATTCATTGATGAATGCACAGTACCTGTGAGAGGACCTGGCATGTAACAGGCACTCAGTAACTTTTCTTAGACAAATAAAATCGAAACAATTCATCCCTACCTCGGGGTCTTAGCCATTGCCGTTCCCTCTGCCTAGAGTGTATGTGTGGTTCTCCTAGATGTATGTGTGGCTTGTTCCCTCTGTTTTTCTATGAGGTCTTCAGGATGCCTTCACTATAATTTCAACTCCATCCTGTCCAACTTCCTGTTCCCCTGCCCTGACTAACTTTTCCTTTTGACTCACCCGTATTCTGTCTGTATTGTCCCTTGCTTTTCCCTAGGCCTAGAGGAGCACACAGTACATAGGAAGCCCCCAGTAAGTGCTCCCTGAATGAATAGACACATGGCATTATGGTCATCTCATGTTATCTAGATCAGGAAATTGAGGCTGTAGGTGCTAAGTCACTTGGCTGGAAATGGGCAGGGTTAGAAGTTGAACCCAGGAGCTTAATCAGAGCTCTTGCTATTTCTGCCCCAGTGCCTTGGGATAGGCGTGAGATTCTTAGAGGTGCCTATGCTCTCTCATAGAGGATAATTTGGATGATCCAAATGGATCCCAAGCCCTTGTGTTTCTTGGAGGAGATCCTGCTTGGTTCTGGATGCTTCTCCACATCTACCCAAATCTTAATTTTTCAGGTCAGGTTCTTTGTTTCTTCTTTCTGGAAAGTCCGGTGGCCACCCTGTTTCTTCCAGTACCAGCTTCCCTCAGCCTACCTTTGGACTGGTGGAAGGAGCCATCGCCTTGTAGGGAAAGCCCTCAAGTTAGTTCCCTACGGTTGAGTTGGTCTGAGGGGAGCCCAGGCATCTGTACAGTGGTATTTTTTTTTTTTTTTTGAAGCTCTCCAGGTGATTCTAATGGGCAACCAGGGATGGGAACCAGGGGCCTTTCTCAATGAGAAAATTAAGTCAAGTAAATGTACTGTGAGGCCTGCAAAGTTCTCTGTATGGCAAACACCAGAGAAAGGCAGAAATTGACCCTTAGTTCCTGTCTGAGTACAGGCACGACGGCCTTTGGCCAAGTTGCTAAACTTCTCAAGGAAACTGGCCCCAAGCTCACTGCTGCCCTGTCTTCCGCCATGTTCTAGTCTGTGGTCTTTCGGGTGGAACATTGACAGTGAAGAGTACCTTACATAAAACACACAACAAGGTGTGTTGATCATAGTGCTAGAGCAGAAAGCTGTGAGGAGTCAGCTCCATCTTCATGTCCTAGGACATGCAAATCAGTCTCCTGAGTATGTTCTGGAACGTTGGGGGGGGGGGGCGCTGGGGTTTCTCACCCTCAAGCTCTTGCTGCTATTGGGACCACCTCTGCATAGCTGTCTAGTGCTTGCTAGGTGGCGACATGGGGCGAAGTTACCACTGGCCGCCTAGCTGGAGTGAAGCCTGAAACTCTGGAGAAGTTCACCCAGAGTGATTCAGTGGTTTGCGAATTCTCATAATAGACCTGTTATTTTTCCTGTTCTGAGGCCAACAGTTGATACCTAGGGAAAACATAAGGAGGCATAAACGAGAGCAGATCCCTCCTTGAATGGGTTCGGGTTGATGTGCTGAGTGGGGGTCCCAGGGCAGGAGCTGCTGAAGCAGATGAGGAGCCATGGGGTCCGGGGGCAGGGGGGAACCGCAGGGAGAAAACTGATAAGGGACCTAAGAGGCACCAAGAAAATCCTCTGTGGCACGGTTTTCCCTGAGCTGCTGTCAACCTTTAGTAGCTTCAAGGTTTAAGAAAAAAAAAACAACAACCAACTTCCATTTTGGGTGACTTTTGAAGGCTCATCTCTGCTGTGAAACTTCACATGAGAATTCTTTTTGATCAGCAGTTCAGGGCCCATGTTGTGAGGAGGGTCAATCTGATTTGTTATTAAGAAAAATTACATGGTCAAAGCTTATGAATGATTCATTTAAAAAATAAATAATGAGGGCGCCTGGGTGGCTCAGTTGGTTAAGCAACTGCCTTCAGCTCAGGTCATGATCCTGGAGTCCCGGGATCGAGTCCCACATCGGGCTCCCTGCTTGGCAGGGAGTCTGCTTCTCCCTCTGACCCTCCCCCCTCTCATGTACTCGCTCTCTCTCATTCTCTCTCTCTCAAATAAATAAATCTTTAAAATAAATAAATAAATAAATAAATAATGAATTAGAGCAGATTCAAAAATCTGCTTTGTTGAGCAGGAGGGAAACGGATGGGATGACAGCTCCGGGGCTGGAACCCTGCAAACCCCAGCACCTGCTTTGTCTCAGCAGAAACCCATCATTGTGACAGCCTCCCTGGGATGCTTGGCCATACACACGCAAGTCTTTACCTCTGCAATCCTTAGTCTCTTTTTCATAGTAAGTTCCCACTGGACATTCGTCCAAACACTGTCCATCATAGAGAACCAGGGATGGCTCGGCACAGAGGTCACAGTCATCCGCTGAGGGGCCACTACACTCCAGACAGTCTTTGTGGCAGGGGACACACTTGCGTATGTCCACGTAGAAGCCGTGGGGACAGGAGGGATGACACATATCCTGGTACAGGAAGGACCCAGGCATACACTCTGGAGGAAGGAGGAAGCAGCAAGTTACCCCATTGGGCACAGGAGAAAGGAATTTGTTCCTTCTGGAGTGGGCTAGCCTGTCCGGACCACACTGGCTCCTTTGACCTGAGTGTTCCATGCATATGCCCCATGCCAAGCCTGCCAGGGCACATGCCCCACATCTCTAAGCTTTGGGAGGGAAGACCACATACGGTGGCCTGATGACATGGTGCTGGGTTTACAGCCCAAAATGACCTGCCCCTCAGAGGTGTAAAAAATTGCAGAGCTGTGGCAGACCATCTATGGCTGAGATGCTGGAGGTATTGTTGAAAACCCGAAAAGCATGCTCTATTCAGCCCCAAAGCGTCTTAAACATTCTTGCATTAGTTATGTTTTCATTCACTGATAGGGTAGATCAGTGACATAGACATGGTAACTCAGCGTGAGGCATGCGTTGTGGGTTTCTTTCATCTGTATTCATTCTCTTATTTGGGGGGAAACCAAGAAAACGCTTTGGGTCACGCCAAGGGAATCCTTTGATAGAACAGCATCAGTTCAATGGGTTTTGCTCTGGAGAGGAAATTAGCCCTTCTTGGAGATAATTCCAGAGAAAGAATTCCTAGCCAGAGTGCTATTCTGAGTCTTACCGTCTTCGCCTGACCTTCTCTTTCCTATCTTTTGTAACACTTGCAATTCTCTCGCTTCCTCTGTGTTTCATTAATATAAACCTCCCTATAAGATTTTGTGACAAAGAGGCAGGAACTTCGGGTTCTTATCTAGATCTCTAGCAGCTGGGATGGTGCTTGGCGCATCCCTAAGTGCTCAGTACACCTGTACGGAAGAAATCATGCAGAAAAGGGGCTTTCATTTGTCTTAGCTTGAAGAACGCCCTTGATTGCCTCAGTGATGTGCATGAAGATGGTTATATTTCAGGAAAGATAAGGAGACTGGTTCCCTCCATTGTGCATAGCCCCCCCGCCCCCCGCACCCCCGCCATGGTTGGTCCCCAGGGGCGGTAGCCTGGGGGAGCCACACTCTCCCCTGGGATGCTCCCATGTACCTTTGCATGTCTTCTCATGGATGCAGTCCTGACACATCTCAGGGCAATGCTTGCACACCCCCTCCACGGCCACATGCCTCTCGGGGCAGGCTTCCCGGCATGCTCCCTGGTGCAAGATGAGGCTTCCTTGGCAAGAGTGGCAGTTGGTGGCGTTTCCTTCGCATGTTTTGCAAGGAGAGCTACACTGCTCACATGTGCTGTCTTCTGCATAGAAGCCCCTGTGGGGAAGACAGAGCACAACTGGAGATGCTTTCCATCCGGGGAAGTGAGTCCCGCCTGGTGGCAGAGGGCTTGGGACTGAAAGACACTGGAAGGACGGCAGCTATTGTGGGGCAGAACGAGGCAGTCAGATTTGCCGAGGAAGGAGGGGTCAGAAGCCAAATCCAGGAGGAGAAAAAGGAAAGGGACAGGTGTTATCCTTGTGAATTTGGTTGGTTTGAAAACCACTTTTGTTAATGTGTATATAGTTTAGCCACCTTCTGGTTTCCCTATTTTATCTCCCAATTTTTATTCTTTCTTCTTCTTTTTTTTTTTTTTTTAATTAGAGACTTATGTTAGAGTAGAAAGTGCTTTTTATCCAATACATTTTTAATGAAAAATTTTAATTTAATAAATTAAATTTATTACTAAGGAATTTAGTCCTTAATATAAAATGTTCATTCATAATTAAAAACTTATTTTTACAAAGCTCTAAAGGTTTAATGCCCTATAAAATTGGAACCACTTTTGCTTTCGGATGCTCTCAGCCAACCTCTGGTGGCTTTTTTCAAACATGCACATATAATGTTTGCACGCAGCTTCAAACATATTTGCAGTAGCTGCTCATGGAGGATATGTTTATAAGAGTGACTTTCTTCCAGGTGGAATCTGGCGTCTGTATATATATATATTGTACCTCTAGTGATTACATTATCACGCCAGAGAAATCTCTCACTGACTGATGAACACAGTAACTACGAAAACCTCAACCTTTTCAAATAGATTTGGAAGATGGGGGAAATTTCGACAGTTTTTTGAAGAAAAAAGCTGGCGGGAAGAACTGGAACGTGCAGAAGCAGGAAAATCATAAACCGTTGTAGAGAATATGGACTTCTGATGTTCTAGGTATCTTTTTTTTTTTTTTAAGATTTTATTTATTTATCTGACAGAGAGAGACACAGCAAGAGCAGGAACACAAGCAGGGGGAGTGGGAGAGGGAGAAGCAGACTCCCCACCGAGCAGGGAGCCTGATGCGGGGCTCGATCCCAGGACCCTGGGATCATGACCTGAGCCGAAGGCAGACGCTTAACGACTGAGCCACCCAGGCGCCCCCCGATGTTCTAGGTATCTATTCCAGTTGTTTTCTATAATTTTCATTCTATTTGTCAGCTGTTGCCATAATAGGCTGAGAGGCAGGACACTCCCAAACTCATCACCCATGTATCTGCGGGAAGGCAGATCTAGGCTGAGCTTGCGCTCAAAGAGGCCAATGTCATTGTAGGGGCAGAGGTCATGCATGAACTCCAGGAGAAGGAGGCTGGGCCCTGAGATACACACTGGATTCAGGTCTTCTTCCTGTCCCTTTATCTTCCCTGGCACAGGGACCTCCTGGGGCACATTCTTCTCTTAGCCATGACAGAGCACAAGAGGGCCAGTTCATCCAGACAAACAGGTTGTAAGCCTTTCTGCTTCCCTTCTGCTAACACCCTGTTGGCCAAAGCAAAGCAACCCGGACCAAAGTCAAGGGTCAGGGAAGTCCATTCTGTGTCTGTGGAAGTTGCTGCAAAGGGACGAGCAGGGGGCACAGGTACATGGGGAGGTGAAGAACTGTAGCAAATAACTCAGGCTGCTCGAGTCCTTTTTGAATCAATGCCAATAAGGGATCCTATACGGCATCTTTACTTGATGTTTTAATTAACTCATTCACGTCTGTTTCATCATTCTTTCAGCCATTCTTATATTTATTCAGGAAACAAAAATGTATTGAATGTATCAGGAAGAAATGGGACGGGGTGAATAAAGGTTACGTATCTAATGTAGTTTTACGAAAGAAAATTTGGAGAAGGAGCAGATTAGTAGAAGAGAGGAAACCAAATTGTACCCAGATGAAAGCTAAGACCAGGCTCCCTTATACAGTAGTATCTAGTATCTTAGCTTTTTTGGACCAAATGGAGAACCTTCAGTTGATTATAACTTAGCTTCCGATGTCAATTCTTACACCTAGTAGGTGCTAACTATTTATCTGCGGAACTGAATTGAATATGCTTGGCTTCTCCACTGGGCTGGAAGTTTCTTGAGTACCCTGACTTACGTTTTTACCCTATAGGATCTATTTCAGCAGTGGATACAGATACTAATGATCTACCTCTATCATAGATCTTGTAGCTCTACCATCAAGTTCTTTTAATCAGTGGGAAACTTCTAATTGCTTCAAACAGATTCTGTTGGTCACTTCCCCAAACTCCTTCCTCACCTCCCTCTTTCCAGTCTCCCTGCCTGACAGTGTTCTGATTTTATTTGGGTGTGCAGGGTGAATTTTGTGTAGCCTAAACCGATCCTTCTATTTCCGTCCTTCTCGCCAGAGATCATTTTTGGAAGACGGAAGTGAAGCATTCTGGCTAATGAGATGTGAAGGGAAGTCAGAGGAAGTTTTCTTTCCTTTTAAAAAGAGATGGAGGAGGAGAAACGTGCCCTTTTCTGTCTCTGGTTGTTGTCGTGTAGGGTGGTGAGGTTTGGAAACGGGGCAGACAACGTGGCTCAGGGGCTCAGGGGAGGACAAGCTGAAGAAGATTCAAGGACAAAACAGAAAGATTGTGGGTCTTTAATGAAGTGTTGGCCGCTGATGTAACCAATGCTGGGTTTTAACCTTTTTGTTCCATGAGAAAGTAAACCCCACATTGTCTCAGTCATTCTACTTAGAATTTCTGTTGCTTGTCACTGAAGGTTCCCAGATAAACTTTTCCATGTGCTGTTTCCACTTCATTTTTACATCCTGGAGCTGGACCCATTGATGGGAAGAGAAGAGGAATTATAAACCAGAGGACTGAGGACACCATGAGGAATCAATCAATAATTCACCAGGTATGATTCCATATTTATTATTTATACCTCACACCTCACCTACTGTAAACATTTAAGAAGACATTCATGTATTCACAGCCTTAACTTTTGTCATGGAAGGAAGACAACTCCTTGATCATAACCACAAGGTGGAAAAAGAGGGTATTTTCACAAAGGTCAAAAACACGTACATATCACAGTCACAAGGGCCTGGTTTGGCTGCCGTGGCCGACAGCGACTGCGTGTCGAGGGGACAATTCCAAAGGCTCTGTAACCAGGACGGCGTCCTCTGGTGCAAGAAGGAATTGCCCTCCAAGTACAGCAGGAGAATGAACCCGAGTGGGACGTGGAAGGAAGAGGGACACTTACTCAGGGCACCTGGTGTAGCACCTGCCTTCGTGGAGGAAGAGAGGGAAGTCCGGCCCCGTCCGGCACGTTCTGCAGAGATGGGCTCCAGAGCAGGAGGTACAGTCCTCCGTACAGTTCTCGCAGTGGCCACTCCTCGCCGAGGGCCACGTGCCTTCAGGACAGGAGGAGACACAGGCCTGGGCCAGCAGATACGTGCCTAGAAACCCAGGGAAGGAGGCAGAGCAGACCATCAACACGTGGCAGGTCCAATGGCACAGGGGTCCATGCAGAGGACAGGTGCCCCCGGCAGCTTTTCTGAACCTCTGCAGAGACCCGAGAATGTGGAATGCTGCTTTCCGGCAAACCAAAGTATTTGTTAGTGAGGCTCAGTCTTCCACATTGAGTTAAATCTCCAGAAAGGAAATCCACAACAGAGGCTTTTGCCCTGTTTTCCTTCCTTCCTTCCTTCCTTTCTTTCTTCCTTCCTTCCTTTCTTTCTTTTTCTTTTTTCTTTCTTTCTCTTTCCTTTCTTTCTTTCTCTTTCTTTCTTTCTTTCTTTCTTTCTTTCTTTCCTTTCTTTCTTTCTTTCGTTCCTTTCTTTTCTTTCTTTCTTTCCTTTCTTTCTTTTCTTTCTTTCTTTCTTTCTTTCTTTCTTTCTTTCCTTTCTTTCGTTCCTTTCTTTTTTCTTTCCTTTCTTTCTTTCTTTTCTTTCTTTCTTTCTTTCTTTCTTTCTTTCTTTCTTTCTTTCTTCTTTCTTTCTTTCTTTCTTTCTTTCTTTCTTTCTTTCTTTCTTTCTTTCTTTCTTTCCTTCCTTCCTCCCTCCCTCCCTCCCTCCCTCCCTTCCTTCCTTCCTTCTTTCCTTCTTTCTTCTTTCTTTCTTTCTTTCTTTCTTTCTTTCTTTCTTTCTTTCTTTCTTTCTTTCTTTCTTTCTTTCTTTCTTTCTTTCTTTCTTTCTTTCTTTCTTTCTTTCCTCCCTCCCTCCCTCCCTCCCTCCCTTCCTTCCTTCTTTCCTTCTTTCTTCTTTCTTTCTTTCTTTCTTTCTTTCTTTCTTTCTTTCTTTCTTTCTTTCTTTCTTTCTTTCTTTCTTTCTTTCTTTCCTTCCTTCCTTCCTCCCTCCCTCCCTCCCTCCCTTCCTTCCTTCCTTCTTTCCTTCTTTCCTTCCTTTCTTTTCTTTCTTTCTTTCTTTCTTTCTTTCTTTCTTTCTTTCTTTCTTTCTTTCTTTGAGAGAGAGAGAGAGTGCATGATGGGGGGGAAGGGCAGAGGCAGAGGGACAAGCAGGCTCCCCGCTGAGCAGGGAACCAGATGTGGGACTCGATCCCAGGACCCCGAGATCAAGACTGACTGAGTCACCCAGGTGCCCGCGTGCCCTGTTTCTTTTACTTTCCTGCAGGTCACTATGGAGCTTCCCTTTCCCCAGTTGATCTGTCTATTAACACCTTGGTCTGTCTTCGTGTAAGGCCGTTTTACATGTGCAGCTCAACAGAGTCTATTCTTCTGCTTCTGGAATCCTCTCCTGCTAAGACACTAACATAGTGGCAACTCCTCCACCATCCAGCGCCACCTGGAGTGGACGGTCTGCCTACTTATTCTTTTTTATTTTCTTTTATTTTATTATGTTGATCACCATACATTACATCATTAGTTTTTGATGTAGTGTTCCCTGATTCCTTGTTTGCGTATAACACCCAGTGCTTCTTAATTGAAAAAAATCAGATAACATCATTATTGAAGAAAACTATTTTAAAATCACCCTTCACTCCCAAATCCCAAGAAAATTCCTTCAATTTTTGGTTGTAAACTTTTATATTTCGTAGGGGTAGAATCATGGCACACCTGAAATTTTAAACTTTTGTGCCCCATCTCATGATGAACATTGCACCTTCCAACATAATGACCACTTTAATGGTCACTTTTAATTCTTAACTTCTCACTGTTAGTATACCATGTTAATAAAATATCCCCAGAATTCAGGGAAGTTGCTATTTCTGATGTTTTGTTACTGTAAATGATGAAGCAGTTCATCTCTTGACCTGTTAAGTTTGTTGTTCTTGGCTGGGGCGCCTGGGTGGCTCAGTCAGTTGGGCATCTGCCTTCAGCTCAGATCATGATCCCAGGGTCCTGGGATTGAGTCCCGCATTGGGCTCCCTGCTCAGTGGGGAGTCTGCTTGTCCCTCTCCCCTGCTCCTCGCGCTTTCTCTCACTCTCTCTCAAATAAATCTTAAAAAAAAAAAAAAAAGTTGTTGTTCTTGGGTTTTTTTTTCTCTCCTAAATTCAGAAATGAAGAAGGAAAGAATAAGTAGGGTATTTACCCTCTACCCTACCCTAAGTTCTACCCTAAGTTCTCTTGTTTTGGCTAATGCACTTTAAAGAGTAATGGGACCTCTAGAAATGTCAGGTACCCAGAGACCCTAACAAAATCTGTGGCCAGATCAACAGATGACTTCATCATGCCTTTGGATAAGAACATTGGCATTTTTCTTTTCATTCTCTCTCTCTTTTTTTTTTTTTTTGGTCCTTTGAAAGCCAGTTCTGTTTGTTTTTTTAAGATTTTATTTTTAAGTAATTTTTACACCCAATGTGGGACTCGAACTTAAAACCCTGAGATCAAGAGTCACATATTCTACCGACTGAACCCACCATGCACTCCTGAATACCAGTTTTTGTTAGAGGTCACTGTTTGGGTCCCTGCATTTTTCCAGAGTAGCCATGGTGATAGGAACAGTGAGGACTGGATCAAGTCCTGCAAACCTTTTATGTAAAAATGCCAATACACATGAGTGACAGTGAATTGGCTTGGCCACAGCCACTTCTTATCATACTCCATACTGACCTTTCGGACACGAAGTGCACAGGGTCACAGATTCATTGCAGGTTTTACAAGAAGGATGACAAGGCTGGTGTCCTCTCATAATGTCTGTGTAGACAGAAACCAGAAGTCAGTATCCTTTGAACAGGCTCATAGTATTACAGCGTTGGAAAGGATCTCATGGGTAATCTCATCTTCCTTCCTGCCCAGAATAGAATCCTTTCAATTTTGCATTGGCTAAACCTCCACGGTGGACTTTATTCATTTATTCATATATTTCATTTATTTTTTTCTCTTCCTTCCAATTGATTATCAAGACATGGTTTGCAAACTTCCAGTGACAGGATAGTCTTAAATGCAACGGGCCTATTTGAACTAACAGGTGTTCCTTCTTTCATATATTAAAAATCTGTGAGGGTGTGTGCTTGTGTGCATGCATGCATGAAAGTTTTCTAGTTAAAGGTCATCACTTCTTTCACCAAGAGTCTTAGATGACCATTTCTCTTCACTCCAAGAGGATAACAGAATTCATTGTGTCTTTTATGGGGTAACTTTCTCTTTTCCTTCCTTCCTTCCTTCCTTCCTTCCTCTTTCCCTTTTTTTTTTTTTTTGTTCTTTGGAATCAGGTTTCAAAATCCGTCAATGTTTGGGTTTCTGTGTTCTTCAGAGTAATCACTGTGGAATGCAAACCTAAATTTATCTCCTCTCAAATCATCATTAAACATTCACCTAATGGAGCCACCTGTGGGCTTTCTGGTTGGTCAGGTGATAGGCAGGCCATCCCAGGTCAATACACCATTCCCCTGGGAAACATTTGAGGTGTTCCTCTCTCCCTTTCCCCCCAAGAGCATTCCTTTGGTGACCAGGCTTTTCCAGGGAGTCAGGAAGTCCACAATTTCAAAGACCTACAGAATAGCCTTGGTGACATCACTCAATGAGTCCACGAGATCTTGACCGCATCTCAGGAGCTGCTTGGGAATCAGCATAAGTCTCATAGGAGAGAATTAGAAAAAGAAGATCTGGCTCAGGATGTGTGATAGGAATGATCCAGACCCTCAGTTGACTGTTACTGTTGGTATCTTACAATCACCGTCCCTCCCTTGCTTCCTGCTCCTTCCTGCTCTTCCTGAGAGTCAGTCTGACAAAGTGGGTTCTGTAGGCACACCTGCTGTCAGAGCCCAGCTGTGCCACTTATGGGAGGGTAACCATGGATACGGTAATTAAACTCCGAGAGTCCTATTTTCCGTGTCTCTAGAATGAGAGCAAACGATCGTTCCCTTATAGAACTGTCGTGGAGGCTAAATGAAACAGTGCGTAACGCGCACACACAGCAGCTCAGTAAATGCTAGACCTTCTGCTTCCTTCCTCCCAGTTTCCTCCTTGGTTACCATACTTCCCCATTTCCCAACCTTAGGCTTTAGTTCTCTCTCTTTTCCCTCTGTTCCATACCCGGAGTGGCACCGGGAGGGTTTGCTTGGTTTCTCTGAAGGCGCTATGGTTAATAAGCTGCTGAGATTCGCTACAGAGGAAACTAGACTCAGAGGTAGGTAGGTAGACAGACAGATTGGTGTGGATGTAGATACAGATGTGTAGACATAAATGATCATCCTGCCATGCTAAGTGGCCGTTCTCTTCCTAGTCTGGAGAGAGAAATATGCCTTGGTTTTCCAGGAGACTGACTCACTGCTGTACTCTCCCTGGGGGGAGCTGTTAAGAGCTCAATTAGCCTTGTGCGGAGCACTGTCAGGCACAGACGACAGGAAGCTCCACAGGACCAAGGCCTTTTTAAACTGACAGTCTCACTTAATCCAAACGAGAAGGCGGCAGAGATGAGCAACAATTCGGTTGCCAACATCAGTCCTCACTCACTAACCACCTGGGAGATGCAGATCAAAACCACAATGTGAGATCACCTCACACCTGTTAGAAGGTTTAGGATCAAGAAGAGACAGCACGTGTCGGTGAGGATGTGGAGGAAAGGGAACCCTTGTGCCCTGCTGGAGGGGCCATAAATGGGCACAGCCATGGTGGCAAACAGTACGGAGGGGCCTCACAAGATTAAAAATGGAACTACCCTATGATCCAGCAATTCCACTCTGTGTATATAACTGAGGGAAATGAAATCACTGCCTTGAAGAGATACCTGTCCTCACATGTTCATAGCAGCATTATTTACAAGAGCCAAGACATGGAAACCACCTAAGTGTCCATCGGTGGATGAATGGATCAAGATGTGTCATATGTGTATAAAGGAACACTATTCGGCCATAAAAAAAGGAGGAAATTTTGCCATTTGCAACAAAGGGATAAATCATGAGCTTTAGGCTAAGTGAAGTATGTCAGAGAGAGAAAGACAAATACCATATGATCTCACTTATACGTGGAACCTACAAGGAAACCAAAGACCTAGAGTAGATTGGTGGTTGCCAGGTGTCGGGGTCGGGGTGGGGAATGGGTGAAAGTGGACCAAAAGGTACAAATGTCCAGTTATAAGATGAATAAGTGCTGAGGATGTAACGTCCAGCGTGGTGTCTACAGCTAATACTCTATTAGCTGAGAGAGTAGCTCTTAAAAGTTCTCATCACACACATGCACAGACACACAAAAGGTAACTATGGGGGTGGTGGATGTGTTAACCTCATAGTGGTAATCATTTTGTAATATATATGTATGTCAAATCATCACATTATGCTGGTTAAGCCTGACAATGTTGTATGTCAATTGTATTTCAATGGAACTGAAAAAAAGATACGTAACGGCTGAGCGTTCTTAAAAAATAATAGCAAAATAATATTTATCAGAAACACCTTGACCATCTTTAATATTATATGTCTAGGCCAGGGGTTGAATGTTTTTCCCCTCAAGGTTTGAATTTTTTATTTTATCATTTTTTTTTAATTTAATTTATTTATTTGAGACACAGAGAGAGAGGGATGCCTGGATGGCTCAGTCGGTTGGATGTCTGCCTTCCGCTCAGGTCATGATCTCAGGGTGCTGGGATCGAGTCTCACGTGGGGCTCCTTGCTCAGTGGGGAGCCTGCTTCTCCCTCTGCCTGGCGCTCCCCCTGGTTGTGCTCTCTTTCTCTCTGACAAATAAATACAATCTTAAAAAAGAGAGGGAGAGAGACAGAGAGAGAGCTGGAGCGAGCAAGAGCACACGAGTGGAGGGGTGGAGTAGGGAGAGAGGGAGAAGCAGACTCCCCACCGATATGGGAGATGGAACTGGGGCTCGATCCCAGGAAGCTGGGATCATGACCTGAGCAGAAGGCAAACACTTAACTGACTGAGCCACCACTCAGGCGCCCCGATTTTATCATTTTTATACTAAATTTTTTATTTAGAAAGACATGAGCTTTAATGGGTTTTCTCACATTTTTGCAAAATGTATATATCTACATATGTATTTATAATTACGTGTATCTCACATTCTGGCAGTTTGAGATTTTACTGGGATACCCTGGATATAAAATTCTGTAATGTCAGCATATGTCCACTAGAGGGTGCTCCGTACACACAGTTAACAGCAATTAAGTGTGGGCAAGGGATTGTCGTTCCCCGCCACAGCTTTTTATCATAAAAGATTAGTGACTTAATCACAAGTAAATTTTGACTTTGATCATAGTTTCTCTTTTTTTTTCCGCTCCAGAAATTCTGGACTGGACAAGACCTCAAAGAAAAAAAAATCACCTTGACCAAGAAAATATAGTGTCTGTCCTTTAGAAATGACTATAGCTAAACCATATAAAACGGGAGTTTTATTTAAAAAAAATTTTTTTTTAAATAAGCAATACTCACACAGTTAAAAAAAACCAACAAAACTGAAGAAAGGGAATATATCATAAAGTATCTCTCCATCCTTTTTATATAAACTATCTATTCGCACTGTTTATCACATTGCTTTTTTTTTTTTTTTTTTGGTAATAATGTATCTTGGGGCTCATTCTCTATCGGCGCATAAAGAACCCCCTCTTGTTTATGACTCCACAGCATTCCATTGCATGGATGTATCATACTTCATTTTTCTAACTGGTAACTGTTGGTGACCACTTCGGGTTTTTTTGTGTTTTTTTTCCAATCTCTGCTATTTCAAATACTACTACAGTGACTGGGAAGGCCAAAGGTGCTTTTCCAGCCTATTACAGATCTGCAAGGACAGAGGCTTTTCTTGATAGCCTCTCCCAGATAGAACCACTCAGCACATCAGGAACGCCCTTAAATGTTCCAGAAAGCTCCACTGCTGAGTTTCCTCCCGGGTCTTTGGCCTTTGAGCATCTACGTTGTGGTCACCACCTCCTTCTGGTTTTACTTGGGCACCCCCATTTGCTCCTTGTAGCCCAGCTTCTTTGGGTTGGTTTCTACGTCACAGAGGCTTTTGATTCAGTGTGATGATCTTCTCCCTATTTCCCGGTTACCTCTTTTGATTTGAAACTTCCGCCGTTGCTTCTGTGGCAGGCTCCTCACCAAAGATGGGCTTGCAGTGGGCACAGGCTCTTTTTTATTAGAAAAGAAAAATAAAGTGTTTTATTTTTTTAATGCAAGAAAGATGAAGAAGGTCAGTTTCGCCTATCACCTTACCACCCAGAGATGCCTGCGATGTAGACGTCCGCACCTAGATTTCCCATCTTCGTGCTGAATGTGTGAGTATAATCACGTATATGTATTTAATCATTTATGTCTTCTGTGTCTATAATACTGACCCTACGTTTTTTCTTTTTGAATGATTTTATTTATTTATTTGACAGAGAGAGAGCACAAGCAGGGGGTGGGGAGCGGCAGGCAGGGGGAGAGGGAGAAGCAGACTCCCCACCAAGCAGAGAGCTGGATGTGGGGCTCCATCCCGGGACCCTGGGATCATGACCTGAGCTGAAGGCAGACCCTTAACCGACTGAGCCACCCAGACGCCCCTGCGTTTGCTATTATAAATTTTATAGGCATATTCTCTTGCTATTAAAATTCTTAGTAGACACTGTTTTTAATGGATTATGTATTTGCATGAACCATAATTCACTTAATTTTTTTCTTTTGTTACATTTTTAGATTGCTCCATCTTTTTTTTTTTTTTTTTTGGTTATTATAAATAAAGCTGCCATTGACATCTTTATACACAATATTGGCTAAGTCAGGACTCTACTTGGCTCCTAGGCATCCCAGCTGACCACTATTTGCTGCCTTCTTTCTGGGACTATTCTTCCCCAACCTAGGGCCCCCCAGATTGCTTGCTTTTGACAGGGAAGACTGTTTTGAAAGTGAACTAGTGTTTCCCGTGTTAAGACTGGGTCAGGTTAAAGGGCAAGGGAGTAGTTTAACTTTTGTGTCCTCTTCTGTCCTGGGAGCTTTATGTGGGCTCTCCCATTTAATTCTCAGAATGACCTTGGCTGAAGCAGTTCCATGTTCTTATTTTATGGATGAGGGAACTAAGATTCAGACAGGATGAGTAACTTGTTCAAGGTCGCACAGCCAGTAAAGAACAGAGCCAGGGTTTGAACCCTGATATGCTTACCTCTAAAGCCTACATCCACTAGAGAGACTTTTTAGTAATTAATTTGGATTTTAAAATAGTTCGGTCGAGGTCAAAGCAGTGGTATACCAGTAAAATGGCTCTTTGGAACACACGACAAAAACCTTAAATTGTAGTGTTTGCTGATTTCCGTGGTGTAAATACTCCCATCGTAGTTGATTTCAAGCTGCCGATGGTTTAATGATCCCCTATTGAAATTCCTGGATATTTGACAATCAGGGCAAGTGGAGACGCATGGTTCCTTCAGGGATCCTGTGGGCCAAAGGTTTAGTCATTTACTCATCCAGAGTCCTGCGTTTTCTTCACGGAGTGCTAGTTGGTTAATTAAGTAAAAATGAGGTCCTCATTTCTACGCGAGGCAACTGTGTATATCTACAAAGTCCTTCTAAAAATCAGATTTTCGTGGCATCTCTAAAGCCCTCGAAGATTCAGTTACACATAGGCAGCGTATCTGCCCACCGCTGAGATTTATTTTTTACATACGGCTCTCAGTGTTTGTGACTGGCTCTGGGATTCCAGGCTTCCTCAGGGCATAGGAATCAAAATCAAAAGACAGGCTAGTGAGAAATTGGTAGGATGTGGTCAAAAAGTTAATTCCCTGTGTCTGCGCTTTGTAGATTAAACTATCATCAGCATATGTAATTAGAGCCTGCTACAAACACGGTTTTAATCGATGATGGAAATAGGTGGGTAGGGGAAATGTGCAGGAATTATTCTTAGGACTTTCCGGCACTACCAGGGGGAAAACCACTTAAGAAAATCCAAATGATTTAACAGTCATAGAGTAAACTGTTTCCATTCCCAACAATGGTTTCAGGAAAGCAGCCGAACCTGTGGCCTGCCACGCCTGAACATTTTCACCCACGGTGGCTCGTGATGCCTGAGTCCCTGTGGAAGCCATTAGCAGCCTATTTCACATTGGGTCTGTTGCTGCCATACAGGGGCACTGGCCTAGGAATCTTCACAGGGTGTTAGTGACTAGGACAGGGGATCTGGTAGGGATCCGTACTCTGGTGCAAGTGATTCTTTGCTGGCAGGAAGAACAGAGTTGAGCCGCCATCTTTGGAGATGAGTTAGTCTTGGTTGGAGGCTTGGCCAGGCATGGTCCAATGTGTAGGGAAATCTCCATCCTTGGACTGGGGCAGGAGGTGATGCCACTGCGTGTTTAATTAACGCAGAATTACGGTCCTCCCATCGTGAGCAGACCCTTTATTAAGAGAGGGGTTTAGCGAAGTCTAGTTGGATTTTTATTTCAAGGCTCTTTCCCCAACATGTACTGGCACAGACCGTGGGGGGCGGTTGTAGTCTTTGGGTGCAAACAAGCTCTGATTGTTTCCTCTGGGAGGTCATGTGGGTGAAGGAGTGGACTGGAGTTTGTCCCATTTTACCTTTCCTATGTGGATCTGCAACCGTGTTGAAAACCACACCACCACCTTGCTGAGAGCACCTAGGCAGCTCTATTCTTCTAAAATCATTCTGTCCATTGTCTGGGCTCCCACTGAGTTGACCCAGGATGACTGCCACCTGCTTAGCATCATCTTAAAGGGGAGGCTGATTAGTGCCTGTTTTCTGGAAACTTCTGCCCTCCTATTATACCCTCAACCTTGTTGGGATTTTTTTTGTTTGCTTTTTTTGTTTTTGTTTTTGTTTTTTAAGAGTTAGAAGTCAGGGGAAAGATGTAGGCATTTGGCTCAAATACTCCCAGGACTTGATGGAGTGCATTTCCCACTTACTGTCTCCCTCAGTGGTGTCTAAGCTCTGCTGGGGAAGCTGAGCTCCGGCCTCACCTTGCTCAGTGAAGAAAGAGTTTTCCTCACTGTTAATAGTCTGCATGTCTGATTTCCTAGGTCATAGAAAAGTGCAGCCATGGCATTGACTTTGTTGCTTTTGTCCAGCCACGAGAAACATTCTCATCTGCTTCCCAAATCCCTTCGTAGTGCTAACTCCCCAAATGGACTAATTCCTTCCTTTCTTCAAAAACACTATATTTTGATAGTAGAAAATGCAGAGGGGTGGGTGTGGTGCTCTGACAAAGGGGAGCAGTCAAGGCCTGATTTCTGCTTGCAAAGTGCGTAGCCCAGTTGAAAGGGACGTGTAATCATTTGGGGAATCAAATCTGCTCTGACTCTTGGATCCCTGGACCTTTTCATCATCTGGATGCCAGATAAAATACAGATGTTCTGAGCTAGAAACCCAGCACCAGACTATTTTCCTCTTGGCTTGCCCTGCCTCTTAAATGCCTGAATGCCAGACAAGCTCGTTTTCAGCATTTGGGTCCAGCTATAATTCACAGAAGATATCCCAATCTGGATTGAATGATTTTCTTCCCAGCTATGCCTCTGAAATTGGCCCGTGTTCTCCATGGCTTTTGGCTGCTGGGTTTGTGATGGTCTCTGAGCTGCTTTTCCTTTAAGTCACACATGCAACCCTGTCGTGGTGGACGGTCGCCATGGATGTCCCTCGTCAGACCCGGCAAGAGCCTCTCTCCTGCCCGGGATCTATCCCTCGCCCCGGGCCCTTCGGAGACTCATCCTGAGCAGACCTCCACTGCCATTGCACTGAAATGACCTTTTTAACAAATCCTTGCCTTGAAATCAAACGGAGAGCATCTCTTGTTTTCATGAGCATCTCTGCATAGAATGTGAGTCAGATTTTTCCAGCAGGAAGAGGGTTTGGTTTTTTAACCACCAGAGACAGAGAGGTCACTGGAGTTAGTAACTACCTTGCAAGGAAGCTCGTGACTGAGGCTTCAATGTGAGGTCAGTACTGAAGACACAGGTAGGAATGAGCACGCGCAAGCCTTTGCTGTTAGATTGCAAACTACCACACCCTTCCTCCGGCCCCCATCAAAATCCCCACTTTCCCCAACTGCAACTGGAGGGGGACTTTTATTTTATTTTACTTGAGAGCACGAGTTGGGGGGGAGTGACGGGGAGAGGGAGAGAGAATCTCAAGCAGACTCCCTGCTGAGCATGGAGCCAGACTCCGGGCTCGATCTCACAACCTGGAGAAATCAAGAGTCGGTTGCTTAACTGAGTGAGCCGCCCAGGTGCCCCTGGAGGGGATCTTCTGAAAGGCAAGCTTGGATGATGCTAAGGTCTAATCAGCCAGCCGGAAAGATCAGCTGTCTCAGCTTAAATTCCAGTACTTTTAGAGCAGGTCTTCCTTGTCCAACTGAAAAAGCCCACCTTTACCAATCATTTTCCTTTACCTTAGATAGAAGCTATTCTGAAATCTTTGAGAATGGTCGTTGGGCCATTCCCCTACATGACTCTCTTTACCCGATCTGAGGTCTCCTCCTCCCGATAGGAACTCACGGGCCACACCACCCGTAGGCTGCGCTTTGGGTTCCCCCCAGGTCGGATGACAACGAACCACCGCCTCCTACCCTTTCCCACTCCAAGCTTTGGTTCACTGCCCTGCCTTCCTCTCTTTTGGGATATCCTAAAAGCAAGTGTTAAAGCGGGAGGGAGGCAGACAGGCAGAGAAGGGGGCCAGACACCTGCGTTCTCTGTCTTGGGAGGCACGTACCGTTCCAGAATTTGCCTTCCACCTGGGTCTGGGCAGGCTCCGAGCACGTCCCGTGTCGCAGCTGCAGTCCTTCCCGGCAGCTGCCGCACTGATGGTAGCCAGGGCCACTGCAGGTCACGCAGGCTGGGTGGCAGCGCTCACACTGGCCCAGCTCTGGGTCGCCATAGAAGCCGGGACCACATGTGCTCACACAAGAGCCACCTGCAGGGGTACACAGAGAGGGAGCATGAGGGTGGGTCCCCGGCTGGCTTGGCGCGCTCTGCGAGGCCGAGTTCTAAACAGGCTGCGGGGAATCTCAGGAACACTCTTTGTTTGAATTTGTTTTTCAAGAAACCAAACTGCCGGGCGCCTGGGTGGCTCAGTTGGTTAAGCGACTGCCTTCGGCTCAGGTCATGATCCTGGAGTCCCTGGATCGAGTCCCGCATCGGGCTCCCTGCTCAGCAGGGAACCTGCTTCTCCCTCTGACCCTCCCCCCTCTCATGTGCTCTCTCTCTCTCTCTCGTTCTCTCTGTCTCAAATAATAAAAAAAGAAAGAAAGAAAGAAACCAAACTGCCATAAGCTTCTTTCAGCCAAGAAATGGGTCTTAAA